GCTCGACTCGGCCTGCTGCTCAGCTCATCATTTCCATGGAAACTCGTGATAGTAAAATGCTTTTCATGTTTCATTGAACGACAAGATAGGCAACCAACACGCACGGATGTCGGAGGAAACAAGCATTGCCTAACCAACAGGCGGTTAAACTGCTTTTCACTTTGAAAATGTTTCATTTAAAAAATAATACAAATAAATAAAATACAGCTTTGTTATTGTCCAAAATTTAGTAAAGGATTACTCCGTTGTCTCCCACGATTTAGTAAAATCGTATTTTTTCTTGTTGCAAGTGACGCTGACACAAGATGAAATTCACCATTGAAACAAGGCAATATTGCCTTTGAAATAAGATTTTTGTCTTATTCGAAAGAAAATATCAGCTTGTGATTCAAGGGTAAATTTGATCTTATGTCAGCGTCACTTGAAACAAAAAAAAAAAATATTTGAAACGAGAAACAATTTTTCTGGGTGCAAGATTGCCAGATTTGTGTCTGTGAATGTACTCGAAGCTCTCCTGATTACGTGCCATATTCTACGGCATCACGCGAGAACCACCGAAGCGCCTGGAAGTCAGCCACTAGACTTCAATATCCCCGATATAATTGGGTAAACTCGCCGCAAACTTAAGGAATAAACAACACAGACATGGAATTCCACATCTATGAACATAAAACGCAAAAGAAAACGCGAGCAAGAAAAAAACCTTGCGCAAAAAAAGCAAAAGTAAGCGTCACTTCACTTGTGTGGCTGCTGCACAAACAAGTGGGCCGTGTCGCACCGGAGAGTCGTCACAGTTTTATAGCTTCTGTCTGGGCCGTGCAGACGGCGCGGCGCCTATTAGACTATTGATTCGCTCGCTCACTCGAGCGCCCGCGCGCCGCCCGAGAGAGCCGCCCTCGCTCTGGCCGCCCCGCCCCGCCGCCCGCACGACAACAAACCGATATCGGCGTTTCTTTCTTTACCTCGCGCCGCCGTTGCGACGCCGCCTGGTCAATTTCTCATCGTTTTTCGTCTGGGCGCGACACGTCATTGGGATGTCCTTGCGCCCGCTCGGCCCGGTTCTAGAAATGCACTTCGTGCCTAGGAAGTGGAAAAGGAGGGGGTGAAAGTCTGATGAGCGCGGCCGCATAAAAGGGTAATGCCATCCTTGTGTGTGTGTGTGTGTGTGTGTGTGTGTGTGTGTGTGTGTGATACAGTCGAACGGAGGGATAGACAGAGATGTTAGGATGGGCAAAGGTTAGGTTAGGCTTCAACTTCAAAAAGGGTTACACGACTGCTTGTTCACAGCAAACTGAAACCACCCGTTACTTGGGTCACGCAGTCAGGCCTGAAG